TCCCTCTCCGCAGAGCTGCTCTCCAGCAGGTCCACCCCAAGCCTGTACTGATGCATTAGGTTGTTCCTCCCCAGGTGCAGGACCCTGCATTTGCCTTTGTTGAACCTCATCAGGTTCCTCTCTGCCCAACTTTCCAGCCTGTCCAGGTCACGTTGAATGGCAGCACAGCCTTCTGATGTATCCACCACTCATCCCTGTTTGGTGTCATCAGCAAACTTGCTGAGGGTACATTCTAACTCTTCATCCAGGTCGTTGATGAAGAAGTTAAGCAAGACTGGGCCCAGTACTGACCCCTGGGGGACACCACTAGTTACAGACCTCCAACTAGACTCATCACCGCTGATGACAAGCCTCTGAGTTCTAAATGCACTATACCTTTTATTCAGCCACTTAAGGAGGAGGCTTGATGGTCTAACCTTGGCTTCTAAGCAAATCCAAGCCCTGCTTGGTCATCTTTTTTTCTAGTATTATCACAAACCCATCAACAATCCTTTCGAGTTAGAGCTGCTGAGACTAGTCTATAAAATACTGAAAATCTTTGCAAAACAGGTTTGTCATATAGGAGCAAAGGCTGGAGGAAACAAAAAAGTAGCATGGCCATAAAAAAAAAAAAAGCTTACTTTTTGAGATGCACTGACTTCTGGACAGTGTGAAGCCTACAAAGTCATCCCAAGGTCATATCTAGATGAGGCCATATCTTTAAGAAGCAGTCATGTTACCTCAAACATATCATTATTAGGGAGTACAGGGCAGAAGCATAGCTTTCTAGGTATAGACTGAAAAGGAGATATTATGATAATATTAGAAACCAGGCTTCCCACCAGAGGCATCCAATACCTTAATCAAATAACCTGTTCTTCGCTTGTTGCTGTGACTCTCTCAGCTTTGGTTTCAGTAAGAAAGGAGGAAGTTATAAAAAAAGCAAGAACACCTAAACTGAGATTATCAATTTAACTGACTAGATGAAAGGGTAAAGAAAAGGAGGTCTATAATTGTGGCTTTCAATTTTTAAGGGAACAAACTTGGGGAAAATAAGGGATTAAGAAAAATTAAGTGGGAGAACTCAGATTAAAGTACTTGGGGATCAGGAAGCAGAGAGATTTGGCATTTCTTTAAACCAGAGAAATAAAATTAATCTTAGAAGCAATTGGTTGAATAAATATCTCAATTAAGTAATCTATATGCAACTAGGAATGGAAGAAAAGGATTGGTTGGCACAGACACCTAGGCCTTGTAAGACCAGAAGTGCAAAACTTGCAGTATTACCTAACGTCAAGCCAAGTTAAATTTTGAGTGCTTTGTTTGCTTGTTTTGTGGGTTATTTTTTTACCATGTAAGTAGAGGAAAAGAAAAGAAGTGAAGATGCTTTGTCGTCAAGATAGTGCAACTTAAAAATAACATGGTGAAAAAAGAAATGTGCTTTCAAAGATGCTGAACATAGCACATAGGTGAGGTGACTAGTGAGAACGGAAGCGTGAGAATCACTGTATTGAAGCTTAAGTATTGTAAGCAAAACATAAAGACCCTAATACACTCAAAA